TCCCTGGCTGGGAGGGGGACGGGGGCGCCTGTTGCTTCTTCAAGGGGTTGCGCACGCCGTCCGCCCCTTTGAGGGGTTGGGAGGCCCTCACCCTGCTGGGAGAAGGGCTCGTTTTCGTTCCCGAGGTGATGGCGGCGGGAGGGGAAGAATTTTCCTGCCCCCACCCCCACGTTGGCGGGCGATAGGTGCCCCTCACCCTGCTGAAGAAAAGGGAGGCTGTTTGGCGGTCTGAGAGGCAGGGAGCTACGTCGGTTCTCCCTGCCCAGTAGGGGTGAGGGGAATGAATGTGTAGGTGGGTGGACGATGCCGCTGCCCCCTGCCCCACTCGGGGAAGGGTGTAGCTAGGGAGGAGATCGCGGTCTTTCCGCCGCGCCTGGATGTTGTGGGGAGGAGGTGACCCGCCCCTCGGGAGAGTGGGGGCTTTCGTCCTGCTGCGGTGTGGATGTGGGCAGCCATCCTCAGAAAGAGGGGTACCCACGCTAGACTGCGGACGGGCAGTTTTGCCCCTGCTGGGGGAGGGGTAGGGATCAAGCCCAAGCTTCTCCCGCCTTCCACGGGGAGGCGGGAATTCTTGGTCTTTTCGGAGGAGGGAAGAGGGAAGTGCGAAGGCCCTGCCCCGGGGCGATGCTGTGCTGCCGGCTGTTGTATTTCTAAAGGCGTGCAGGTCAGGCGGCATCCCTCGAAGGGTGGGATTGGGCCACCCTTTCTCCCGGCTCTCTAAAACTGGCGGCGCCGCCGGTTCCCTCCCTGGGCTAGAGGGAAGGTAGTTGGCACGCAGGGTGGGCCCTGGAGCGGGCCAAGAAGTGATTGAATTGCCCACCTGCTGCCCCCACCTGACCTCCAGTTTCTTGTGGACGTGTTAGAGACTCCAAGCTTTAGAAAACCTAAATTATTTTTTAAAAAGAAACGCGGTGTTGCAGCTTAGTAATGTTTGGTCTCCTATGCCCATGTGGGAGTAGTCCTGGGGCCATTAAAAATGAAATGTTACTTAAAGCAGATGTTTCCAGCCTTGGATTTTTCTGTCCTACAGCATTTCCAGTTACCTCAAACGGGGTTGCACAAGTCTTACAGATAATTTCAGTTCACTTTGATTTTGTTTAAACGTTATGCCCCTTTTATGGAGTGGTAAAGCCTACTGAGTTCCTTTTGTGCAGTGTGCCTCACATGTATTGCATTTGGGAAAAGTTGGAAATCAAAGGCCAGTGGGAGAATTCTGTCCCTTGGAAATAATCCTTGCCCTTGGTCATATCTATCAGATCCAGTTTGGTAATTAATGGTCTTTGTTTTAGAGCCTTGAAAGAGGGATATGGGGTTGTCTGCCGTTGCCATTTTAAGTGGCCCGAATAAAGCTTTGTGCTCTAAGGCAAATAGGTTTCTTAGGTATGATAAAAATAGAAAGGGAACCAGTTTCTGAGGTTGCAACCAGGAGGTTAGAGAACAGAGCGAGGGCGTGGTAAACTGAAGTGTGAAGAAGGGGGTGGACAGATTAGACGTGGAAGGACAGAATAGGGTCACAGAGGGATGGGGAGCAGAGAAATTAAGAGACAGACTTGGGTGATGGGAAAAATATTCTTCCTTTAAAAATAAAGAGATCTTCATATTTTAGGTGGAGGTTACAAAGCAAGTGCCAAAAAAGGCAGGTGATGGTAGAATGGCAGAGAGATACTAAGGCTCTCTTGTGGAACTTCACTTTAGAACTTCAGTTTTATCAGAGATCCCCCACCCCCAATTCATTAAATATCAACTTTCATTAGTATAGGGCTTTTAGGTTTGGAGTGCTTTCATAAACATGCCCTCATTTGATCCTCATGATAATATGTGTTTGAAGTTAACCAAATAATTCCCCATTTTTCAGATGAGTGTTCTCATCTGTATTGAGGTTCAAAGATTTCATGTGAATTTCTGAGGTCTCTGAATTTTAATTTAGTTTCTCTTTACAAGATAATTCCGTGACCATTAATTTGCAGAATTTGCCTGATATTTCAGATGTCTGTACTGCCTGGTCTTTCGTGACAATGTGGTTGAATGCTGGGTTAAACTAGAAGAGATTAGAGCATACCAGATAATTTCTTAACAAGCAAGGAGTAGGGAAATTCCTTACCAGTTTAGCACTCTTTTTTCCTACCATTCCTATGCTTCTCTTTAGACTCTTCAGGAGTCAAGGAGGTGATGAGGGTGGGGTGAAATAATAAGTAGAGCCACTACTTATTTAGCTTTTACATTGTGCTAAGCACTTTATATTCATGATCTCATTTATTTTTTCCAGCAACTCCTTGAGGTACTATGATGGTCCTTATTTTATAGGGGAGGACATTTGAAACCAGAATGTAATCATCATATCTTTCCCCACTAACATCTAATTTAAAATGTTTTTATTATCAAATATTTCAAGCATATAAAAATTATAGGAAGTGAGATGAATACCATTATACTCACCATTCAGCTTTATCTTTTGTTGCCATGTTTTAGGTATTTTTTTTTCTTTTTTTAAGAAATAAAACATTACAGATAGAATTGAAGCTCTTATTCTTCCTTGTCATTCCTCTTCCCTCCCCACAACCAGAGATAACCACTATCCTGGATTTGTTGTTTCTTATTCCTATGCATATTTTAATTTAATGACATATGTATGTATCCAAGTACAATTTTGGTATCATTTCTTTAACAAATAAATTACAAGGAAAATGTAAAATATATATATTAAAGTACAAGACCTGTCAGCCAATTGCCATGTATGGGCCTTATTTGGATACTGATTTTTTTTTAAATCTTAAAAAAATTATGACAATAATTGGAAATCTAAAGTGGATATTATATGATAAGGAATTCTTGTTATTTACAGATAAACTGATGTGATGCCTGGGATTTGCTTCAAAATAATCCGGTAAAGAGGGGAGGTGCATGGGGCAATATTAGCTATGGGCTGAAAGTTGTTGGGGCTGGGTAATGGGTATGTGGGAGTTTCATTATGCATTTACGTTATTTTTGTATGTTTTTAATTAAACTATTTAAAAATGAGGAAATAAAATTATGAAGAGAATGATTTGTACAAGTTAAAAATTATATGTGTGTGGTATTTTGCAAGCTTTTGCTCCCAGACTTATTGAAGAGACACTCAGAAGAGCCAGTCCTGTGCTCCTGGATGTTGTGTGGCATAGGAATTGATGCTTTCAGTGGTTGTGGAGGATATTGATTGGTTTTCTGGGTGCACAGTATAGTAATGATATTTTTCTTCCAGTGAAGTTAGATCACATTCAGGGGTATTTCTCTTGTTCTTCCGTTCTGGCTGGGAAGTCAAGGGAAGGCTTTGCATAATAAGGTGGCTTAAATTATTTTTGCCAAGGCACCAAAATCTTTCATGTACATTAGAGAATGTAATGAATGTAGAAGGCTTTCTCATTTGTTGACTGACCCTGGGCAAGGGTGATTGGGAAAAAAACAAAAACAGAAACAAGAAAAAACATTGCCTTTGGATCTTTGTTCAACAATTACTAGTTTTGTGTACTTGGTTGTTACTTTATTCCTCCAAACTTTAGTTTCGCAAGGGTGAAAATCTATTGAACTCTTCATTTGATCAAGCAGGTGCTTGGACTAGACCTTTTGGAAGGAGTTGGAGTGAGAGTGGGGGTATTGGCTCAAAAAGGGCTTCTCAGAAATGTTGCTGCTTAACCCCAGTGCCTGTGATACTTGTGCTTGACAGCCACAGACTTTAGGTAAAAAAATTTTTTTCCAAAAGTAAACTTTGTTTCTTACTGCTTCAGAAAGAAATAACTATAAAAAGTTCAGTCCTTGGGTAGAGAAATTACTTTTCTTTCCATAGAGGCACCTGCTTCAGTGCCTGGAACTCTCTCACAACAGTTGCTGGTAAAATAAGAGAAAAAAATCAGCAGCTGTAAGTTTAAGACACATCAGCCATTTGCAATGTATGGACCTTATTTGGTCCATTTGCAATGTTTGGACCAATTCCAATGTATGGACCTTCGTTTCTTTGGTAAGATCTGTTACAGAATTAAGTTGTAGGATTAAATTGGAGTTGTAAAATAACTCATAGTGCCTGCTTTATAATAGGTGCTTAATATTTCTTCCCTTTTTGTCCCACTTCATTTCTAAGATGAGTAAGTTGAACTAGTTTCCTTCTTTTTCCTTTTATTTATTCCTCTCCCAGTTTTGTATTAGTTTAAGGTGTATAACATAATGGTTTGATATATGTACATATTGTGATATGATCACCACGATAAGTTTAGTTAACATATATAAGATAGTTCTCATTTTTTTCTTATGAGAACTTTTAAGATCTATTAACAACTTTCAGGAATAAAATACAGTATTGTTAACTGTAGTCACCATGCTGTGCATTACAAATTTTAAAATTCTGTAATCCCTACCTTTCTTTTTCTCCAGAACTTTATTTCCATACCATTTTATATTTCCTCATATTGGTGTATATCTTTAAATGTTGTCTCACTGGCAAGATTATACATTCCTTGAGGGTGGAAACCACATCTTTATTTCTTAGAAATCATATAGAAACCTATTATCTAGCTTAGTGCCGTGTGATGATAGCTCAGGAATGTTTTCTGAAAGAATGCACAAACTAAAGCTAAAATTCGGGGTGTGGTATGGAGGGAACTAGAGAGGGGAAAATTCACAGTTAAAGGACTATAAGAAATTTTCCAAATTATTGAGTTTAGTGTTTAAGCGTTTCTTGTAGCTTCTCACATGTTAACATGTGATAGCTTTCTATCACCTTTCCCATCTGGAAAATAATTACAGATCAATCATTAGCTGTTTAAAAACTAGGTTTTAGTTAAACAAGTAATATATAAATATTCAAGTAGAAAAGTTAAGTAATACTGACTAAATGCTCCCCTTGACTTCTCTCAGTCTCCCCACAGGTGATAGCATTCATCAATTTTGTGTTTGTGTTTTTTAGACTCGTTCTTTGCATTTATATATATATTGAAAATGAAACTTTTGTATGTGTGGTCATGATTAACTTTTAGATCTTGGTGAAATTAGACATTGCCTAGTCTCCATTTTCCATCTCTTCCCCATTTTATAAATGAGGAAGCAAGTCCAAATGGTTAAGTTGGCTTGCCCAAATTATCATAGCTTGTTATTGACAGAACCAGGACTACAATCCAAGTCTTTGGACTCCCAAGCCAGTATTCATCCTACTAGAGCAAATGATACTCTCAAGAAAGTAAATTATTGCAACAAAACTAGTTCCTTGGTTGCATAATTTTTCCTCTGAAGGATGTTCTTGACTCAAAATCCAACTTTCTGGTATTTAAAAAAAAATCAAGATCAAAATTAATACATGGAGCACCTTAAAGCATAATACAGTTGACTTTGTAATTAGTGGAGTTGAAAGTGATGAGAAGATCCTCTAATTTTCTTTATGCCTGCAGGAAGGTGGGAGTCAATCATTTTGACAAGTCTCCTGAAAGGAACAGCTAGCAGGAGCTGAAACCTTTTTCCATTTGGTCTCGTGGCAAAGGCAGAGATCATGCCAGCAGCTCCACACAGTATGGAAGACAATTCTTGTGTTCTTAAAGTTTATTATTATTTTTTGAATTTCACAAGTAATATGTTTGTTTTTCTAAAAAGTGTAAAGTGAAAATTTAAACATTTTACATAATATATATTTGTCTTGCTGGTATGTGGTGGATATTATTCCATGACAGTATATTACAGGTCTACTTCATTGTGTATTTAAATACTGTAGTCCCCACTTATCCACAGAGGATATGTTCCAGGACCCCTACTGGATGCCTGAAACTGCAGATAGTACTTAACCCTCTGTATACTATGTTTTTTCCTATATATACATTCTTTTTCACTTAAAGGAAGCACTTTACAGCTTCTCTTTACGATACTTGAATTGCCAACATCATTATTGTGCTCTGGGGCCATTATTAAAATAAGGGCGACTTGAGCACAAGCACTGTGATACCATGACAGTTGATCTGATAACAGATGGCTACTAAGTGACTAATGGGAAGGTAGTGTACACAGCATGGATATATACTGGGCAAAGGGATGTTCATGTTCTGGACAGGACAGTGGGATGGTGTGAGATTGGTCATGCTGCTCAGAACGGTGTGTGATTTAAAACTTAAGAATTGTTTATTTTTGTAATTTTCTATTTAACATTTTTGAAACTTGCTTGACTTTGGGTAACTGAAACCTCAGGTAGCTGAAACAGTGAAAAGTGAAACAGCAGATAAGGAGAGACTACTTACTATAGGTGTAAATAGTATATAGCTTGAATGTACCATGATTTTACTGTACTGTTCTGGTGATGGACAATTATGTTGTCTCCAGTATTTGGCTATTTTGAATAATGCTGCTTTGGACATCCTTATAAATATATCCATGTGCATTTGTATGGGTATTTCGGTAGGTTAAACTTCCAGAAGTGAAATTACTGGGTCCAATGGTACTGCCAAATTACTCTCCACAAAATATTGTGCTGACTTATATCCTCACTGATAGTGTATAGGGTGCTTTTTCTCACATCCCCACCAACCTAGATTATCATGTCATCTTAAGTGTTACCATATTGATTGGAAAAAAAGTATCTGATTATTCTGATATGGATTTCCATGTTTCTGGTGAGGTTAAATATTTTTACATGATTTTTTATGTTACAGGTCACAGTGCAATTTGAAATATTAAGACGCCACCATTCTATAGAGCAGATTAGAGTTGGTAAAAGTTATTTCCTGTTCCTCAGCAAAACCGCCTTTTATTTCTCCAGATATGATGTGCTCACTAATGCCTTCTGAACAGTCTTCTGGTACCTCTGTCTTGCCTAAAGACAATGCTCCATTTTCTTGGGATTCCTCAGATGAGGATGAATTGGATGACTCCTTGCTGGAGTTGTCTGATGGAGAAGAAGATGATGACCATCTCAGTTTCACGGAGGAAGAGATTCAGGAGCTATTGAAGGATGATGACCAATCAAATAAGCACTTTTCTTGTGGAGGAGGGTTGCTTAAAGATGACAGCAGTCATGTTGAGAAGGGAAGGAGAGGAAGTCAAATTCTGCCTGACACTCCACAAGAGAAAAATTTGTTGTACAGTTTGGGACCAGTAGCTGAGACTCCCAGCCTCTTCAAATTACCTCAACTAAGTACATCAGTTGGTAATGGACCAACTCCTACTAAACCATTAAACAGACACTCTGTACTAGAAAAGAATCCGGTAAAATTAACAGTTGTTGCACCATTTGATCCAACAGTTTGTGATGCTGTGCTTGATAAGGACAAGACTGATACCTCCAAAGATATTGAAAAACCCTCTCCCCTTGGAGAAGAGATGAGAGAAGATGGTCTTAGCCCAAATAAGAGCAAACTTTGCACTGAATCTGAAGAGATCAGCCTTGATAACTCTGCCTGGGATGGGCCTCTGCTCCCTTCTCCAAACAATAACTTTCAACAAACTGCCTCTGATAAAAGTATGCCTGACAGTAAGAAACTTAAACCTGTATCCTCTCAGATCTTGAACCATTCAGAGACTCCTAATATGGGGTCATCCTGGAGAAATGGATCACATAAATCAAGTTGTGAGATGAAGTATCCAGTCGTTTCCAGCTCATCAAACAACGTAAGTATATTATTTCAAAATGAATAGAAAAACATTTTCATTCAGAAGCTGAATAGCAGAGCTTTGTATTTAGACAAATTGGGGTTTGAATCCTGTCGAGCACTGACACCCTTAACAAATTGTTTAGCGCCTCTCTTCCTTCACATTTCTTATCTATAAATTGGAATAAATAATATTTCATGATATAGTAAAGATTAATAAAATATTAACAGTAATGCACATGATATTAAATTATTACTTATTGAATAATTACAGATGATTTTACTGTTATTTTTTCCTTTGGGCTGTAGCCTAAGTCTCAATCTTTAGTTATATTGCTGTATGAGATATAGCACCAGCTCTGAGTTAGCCTTGGAAGAGCTGAAAAATCTTGGACAATTTACTTAACCTCTTTGAGCCTGATTCCCTTTCTGCCAAATGTGATTAATAACCCCTACTGCTTAGGGTTCTTTTTTTTCCTTAAGATTGCAGTCACCAATCTCAGTTAAAGCACCCACCATTGTTCTTGGTATACAGTTGGGGGGTCAAGGATAAATTTTGAGGCCTTTAGTTTAAGAATATTTTCATAAATAGTATGCTCAGTTATTATAACTAAGGATCATCTTTCCTTCTGCTCTGAAAAAAAAGCAGGATGTTCTTGACAAGGATTCTGGGAAACTGAAAGCCCCTGAGAGAAGACTAGGCAAAGTCATTCCTGTTCTGCAAGCCAAAACGAGGTAACAGTATAATGAAATATTCTAGTTTCTTTTGGTTCTCTTGAATTTCTTTCTTTCCCTCCTCAGTTTTCTTGTAGTGTGGACAAAAAACTCTGTACCAAGAGCAAGCATACTTGAAGTTTTAGGACCACCAATAGCCAGCTGTGTGACCTTGGGCAAGTCAAATAATCTCTGAACTCAGTTTATCAATAAAACAAGGCTAATGATGCCTTCTCGGCTGCCTCACAGGATTATTTTGAAGAGCAAAAAAGACGTTATTGAAAGCACTGTGTAAACGCAAGATTTCTTTTCCTATGTTTGGGAAAGCCTGATCACATATGGTAGGAGGTTAGAATAATTTTTAACAAAATTGTTAAAATATAACTAGAAAAGCATTTAGTTATCTCTCCCAACTTGCATACAACTGTCCTTGGGGAAAAATTTTTATAGAGGTTGAAGATTTGGGTCGCCTTTTCAATCTATGCTCTTGTTGCCAGGAGATGGCAGTGTCTCTACGTGGGCCTTTTCAATTAGCAAAGCTGTTTTTTAGGTTAAGCCACATTGGCTTCGTTACAATAAGATTTTTAAAAAGAATCTTTGATTACACAGATGATACATTTATTCTGCTTTTGAAAATTTAAAATATAAGGCTAAAATCCCCTTTGACTATCACCTCAATTCTTGTTTTGTTTTGTTTTTCTTTGTTTGCAGAATTTAAGGGAAACTAAATTGCTTACAATGGAAATTATACCATAGAACACAAGCCAGGCTACTTGGAACAGTAATAAATTGACTTTCTCAATATTCTCATCCACAGACTCCTCAGTATAGTACAGTCAGTATGAGCAAGGGCCAGGCATTGTTCTTGCCAAGGTCACCAATGTTCTAACTGCCAGATTCAGCTGTTTGTTTTGTTTGGTTTTGGTTTTTGGAGTTTTTTTTTTTTTTTGGTCCTTATCAGTTTTTCTGTGGCTTTATGAAGTTAGCTATTTTCTGACTAACCTTGAATTACTCAACAAACTCTTGAGATACTAGGTAGTCTTCACTTTCCTATGCCTTGTTAATGGGAGATTGTATATATTTCTCCTTTTTTCTCTCAATTCCATATTTTATTTTAGCTTCATATTATGTGACTAACACTATTTTCTGTCACTGGTTCTTCGTATTTTGCCTCTGGAAGTTCTAATTGATTAGCAGTATATAACTTCTCTCAAGAAAGCATTATACTCATGATTCTAATGGACTGTTTTTTCTCCTGGTTTGTTTTGTTTAAGGACTAATGTTCCGACATTTTCACAATCAGATCTAGAACAGAAGAAGCAAATTTATCTCAAGAATGTCTTTGCTCATATAGAAGGCCCAGTGGACTCTAATAACCAAGGTAACACGGTAACCAAATAATAGCATGTAAAAATGTGATGGGACGTTTTTTTCCCAGTGTAATATAGCTTAAACTGGGAGATTATTTTGAATTTTCTTAACCAATAAGAAAGATAACTTTCTTCCCAAAATTTTCACTTTAAGGAATTGCCTACCCAAATGCTCCTCAAAGTGGCTGGGCTAACCAGTATTAGGGGTCCAAAGAGACTCATACCAGTACATTAAGAGTACCTTCCCATGGCTGAGAGCTATAACCAGAACGGTACTTTTTTGCTAGGGATTTTTTGTCTGAAAAGTAGTCGAGGTGGATGATCAGGCACTCCTTAATAATCATTGATTTTTATTTGGAATTGTTTATTTTTCCTATTGTCTTTAGCATTTAAATGTAAAAAAGCAGGCATTTCAAATTCCATCCTGCATCTTGGCATCTAAATAAAAGCTCTGGAAAGGCTTTGGCTACCTTGAGATTCTTCAGGCCTAGTCATCCCTAGTTCATTAAAACCTATTGCTAACCAAACTGGCTAGATTCTTTCTCCAGTCCTCAAGAGACTATAGTTCATGTTATCATTCATCCAGAACTATTGGCTGATGGGAAAACAACTAAAAAACTTGTGGGCTGTACCGAAGGTGCATTGGTTAGATATGTTAGAGAGTTAGACATGAGTGATGGGAACAAAGGAATGAAGGCTCAGCCCAGAGACCACCCAAAGACTGCCCAAAGAATACCCCATCTGTAGTTAAAGAATCACTCCTGCATCCTGAGAGAGAAAGGACCTGAGGGCCATAAATGTATAGCTGGTTTAATCCGGCCACAGACACTTGTGCAGAAGGTCATACCCTAACCTGCCCACAACTTCAGCCTCATCATACCATCATTATAATATTATTCCTGTGCCTATAAGTTCATGAATCTAATTATAACAGATTGAATTCTGGGTAACTGCATGCACATTAGGCAGGGAGTTATATAGCAGTCAAATGTCCATCAGAATTACCTCACGTGCCAGTCATTTAGGAACGCCTTTGTAACCACCCATTGTGGCCATAATAGAC